TTCAATGCTTAAAAAGAACCTCCTTCATTTTTCTTTTTCTTTTATGTGAGGGGAAGCTTCTATTTATAGAGGATTGGGGAACTAATTTTGAAATTTAACACAGGACGCACAACGTCTTTCTAAATTTTGAATTTTTTTTTGTTTAAAATTATATATTATATATTTTTAAATTATTTTGACATACTAATACAAAAAATACATTCCTAAATACCCTTTTAATTAATCAAATACATGTGTCAACATTTGTTTTGGATGGAAGATTTCATAAGAATATATGTCAATTAATTGTCAAATATTTTTTAATTCACTTGACATATGACCATTTAATAATGTCTAGGTGATTGAGGAAATATCTGGAAATTAATTTTTTTATTTTCCAAGAATATTTAAGTTAATGGCGATTTATTGAAAAGAAAGGAAGTCCAAGGGTATTATTAAGAAAATAAAGTTTATATGGACGACATTAGAATAAGAAGAACAGTACAGGGACAATCTCAACTTTAATCCAATGGTTTGTAATAAAAAAAAAAGTCATCTAATCCAATGGTTTGTAATAAAAAAAAAAAAAGTCACCTTAAAATTTCTGGAATATAAATAAATAAACAACAACAGACATTTGTAGCTTCGAAGTTTTGAAGTTCTTTTTCTGTGGAGAGAAGACGTGAGGCAGCCATAGTCTCTGTAAGAAGGAAAAAATACACAGAAGATACAGGACAGGGGAAATTGTGATTTCTATATTCAATAAAATTGTGATATAGAGTATATATACAATGAAAAAGAAGAAGGAACCTCTAGGAAGAACCAAAGTAGTTATAAGGCATTTGCCACCTTCTCTTTCTCAATCAAATCTCTTCTCTCAATTCGATCATCGTTTCTGCCATCGCTACAATTGGTTCCGCTTCCGCCCCGGCAACTCCAGGTCTCTATTCCTTTCCCTTTATTGACTTCTTTCTTTTTATTTCTTTTATTTAAAAAAAACATAAAGAGGGTAAGATTTTGTTTGGATTTGAAAAGATGATAACTTTTCAATCTTTGTTGAGAGTTTCTCTTTAATTCTGTGATGAACCAATTGGATATGGAACATGGGTATTGGAGTTTTGTAATTTTTTCTTCATTTTATTGGTTATTATGGTGACCCTTTGGAGAATTAAAGATTTTTGGTTATATGGGAATTTTGAATTTCTGGAGAAATAATTTTTTGCAGCCACAAGAGTCAGAGGTATTCTCGAGCTTATATTGACTTCAAGAATCCGGAAGATGTTTTGGAGTTTGCGGACTTCTTTCATGGACATGTATTTGTTAATGAGAAAGGTACTTTGGTAGCTAATCTCTTATGAATTGCTTGAAACTTTTTGGCCTACCACATTTTCTATCTTTCGTGATTTGCGACTGTTTATTTTGAACGGACTACATCATAGATCGTGAAAGGTTAATCCTTGGAGAAAGCTTAAAAAAAATTTATTCTGTTTTAAAAAATATAAGGTGTTTGGTGTTTTGATTTTCGATAGGTTCTAATGTGTTTAATCTTGTGCTATTATTGTATGTCATTGTCTCGTTTCTGAGTTCTATAAGATTTAGAGAATGTATGTGACGATTGAAATTCTGCTTTCGATGAAGGTTCTCAGTTCAAGGCCATAGTTGAGTATGCTCCTTGTCAACGTGTTCCTAAGTCATGCCCCCATAAAGATTCTCGTGAAGGGACTATTTACACAGGTTCTCTTTCTTTTTCTCTTCTTTGATGCTCATTCTGTTATTTTAGCTTCTAAGTGGGAATAACTCATACTAGCAAGGTGTTCGGCATACAGATAGATGTTTAGTTTGATTATAATTCTTTCTGAAACTAGATCCTGATTATCTGGAGTTCCTCAAACTTATTGCCAAACCTGTGCGGAATCCTCCTAGTGCTGAAATTAAGTTAGAAAGAAAAGAAGCAGAGGAATCTGGTTAGTTATGATGCTCACTTGCTTTACTGTGGTCAAATGTTCTACTACTTTAACTATTGGTTTATCACGAGAAACTATTGGCTGAAGAAATCTGTGCTCATTTGTTTTTTCTTTTCTTTACAGAGGCTGTAAAAGGAGCTCCTATTTCTACACCCTTGATGGAATTTGTTCGTAAGAAACGAGCTGATAAGGGTGGTCAGGTGCACTTCATACTTTCTTCTACTTTCAATGTAGGAAAATTGTATAATTCTATAAATTCTATGAAAGATTATGTCGTTGCATATCTTTATGTGCTATTAAATGTTTAATGCTTCTGACATGCCATTTGCAGCAGTCTTGCATTGCTGGTTACATTTTGTGCAATTCATTATATATATATGTGTGTGTGTGTGTGTGTGCGTGCTATTAAACGTTTAATGCTTCTGACATGCCATTTGCAGCAGTCTTGCATTGCTGGTTACATTTTGTGCAATTCATTATATCTGTGTGTGTGTGTGTGTGTGTGTGCGTGTGTGCTAGAAAACATTTTCAGAATTTGCTATTGTTTTCCAGCATGCTTGATGTTTTTCTTTTACCATTAATATGTGGACTATGTTTCATATATCTGTGAAAGATTTAGGTGCAGTAGGTAATGTAATGAGTTAAGAAGGTGAGGTAATTGAAACAGGCCATTATGCTTCTTTTTTTTTATTAGGTGATTGGAGTTTCAGTATAATGGATTTTTTTTTAAAAACTGGGGAAGAGTATAATGGAATTGTGAATTATCTATGGTATAGCTAATTAAAGTCAGAAATGGAAGACATGTTTTCAAATATTCTTACTTAGCTTTATGTAAGAATTGCCTTTCAAATTCAAAATTTTATGACCAATATCTACCCTTCCAACTATCAATATATGCATCCATTAGTGAAAGATTCTATTTATCTAATGAAGATACTAGTAAGGTTGAAATTGTCATTTTAAGTTTGATTATCAGCTACAAAAAATGATCATAAATGCTTGAAGGAACTAAGGGCAATTTAGTATTTCAATTCATAAGAAACTCTATCTCTCTCTGGTAAATATGCTGTTCTTTTTTAAGTCGGGGTCCTCTGATCTTCATAAACTACAAGCCCGGCTGCATCAATAATTATCTTTAACAAACTCTACATTCATGACAATTTGATCTCGTCATCTCTGTAGGGTCCAGCTGTTGTTAAGAACAGGAAAAGAGCTGGATCAGCGTCTCTTACCAATTCTGGTTCAAGTAATGCCAAACAAGACTCTGGCAAGAAAAGGGTATTTTCCAAAATTATAGCCATAATCTCTTTTAAGCAAAAGTTATCAATCTTAGGAATTAAATGTGCTTGTTGTACCTTTTTTTTTCCTGTCATGATGTAGTCTGTAATTAACTGATGGATTAGTTGTTGGCTTAAACATTAAATGATTAGATTATCTTGAAGTTTAAGTCCAAGAAGACATATTCCTTATGCAAGTTCTTATTATTTACTTAGTTATTACAGAGGTGTAAATGAGAGTACTCAGAATTTTTCCCTTAAATTGAGTATATTCTGCTTGTTATTTCCTCTTTATATTCTTTTCTGTTTGATAGTATATTCTCAAGGACGGCACCAAGAATTCAAATTGGAAGGGCAAGTCGATTATCATCATGGCACGGAAGCAGGAGGGCCTACCTACTACTTCAGGCGGAAAAGAAATATCAGAAGTTGAATCCAGTATGTATTTTTTTTTTTTAGCATTGATGATAGTATTTCAATGACTAATAGTGTGCACTGCTTGTGTGCATTTTTTTTTCCTAACTGAAAGGAGATCCTTCTGAAAGTTTTGTGCATTATATGTTGCTGTTATTGGAGTATTGAATATCAAATTGATGAGAATATATTAAAAATGGTTGTCAGCAAAGTTACATGGGCATGTGTATGTTAGACATGTAAAACATGAAATTCTTCGAACCTAACTTTGCAAATCACTGATTTTTGGACATGATTAATTATTGAACAAAATTTATGGTTTTCATGAGAGTCCTTCCTTAATATGATCGGAGCAAGTGACTTTTACTCTACAGAAACAGGACATGAATATCAGTAACTTTTTAAGAACTGGTTTTTCTTTGCTTTTTTTTTTTCCCTCTCTGGGTTGTCATTTTCCTAAAAGTTTTCATGTAAAAAATTAGATTTACTCTTTATTATAAACAATAAATGGAAAGGGGAAATAAAAAAAGCATCTAATTTATTAGGAAACAAGATAATTCAGCAGTGATCCAAAGTACATATAATCTGAAAGAAACGTTGAGGTTTAAAACTATTTTTTACTAAGCTTAAGAAAATGAAAGAGAAAAGGAAGAAAGAAAGATAATTTGATATGCATGTGGCAGTGACTCCATGATGGAAGAAGTTGAACAACTTCATTCCTGTTGTGACAATATCAAGGCCAATGTCTTAGTGTCTGCCATTGTGACATTTGACAACTATTTAGAAGTATTTATTTGTCATGTTTGTTTGTTTTCCTTGGAAATGATAGAATCCGTTCGTTGTCTGAAAGAAGTTACAGAAAGTTTATGGATCTTTGGTGTGTATTTATGTTCTATATGCAGTTTCTGGAGTTGAAGGTTCTGTTTCTAAAATTTCTTTGGATGCTGAGTCTGGAAAGAAAAAAAAATTGCTTCTGGATGGAAAAAGGCGTGAAATTTCTCTTGTAAGATCTTTCAGATATTTTTCTTTTCCCTTTTGATAATTCATTATCGATTTTCATCTTGTGACTTCTGTCCTTGCTCCTGTATACATGCACTCACATACAACCAAACCACTTAGCATGGACAAGTCTGGTAAAAAAAGTAGTCACATCTTTCCTGATGCTAGCACTAATGCATTTTATTTCCAGGAATCTGAGGGGCCGTTGCATCAGTTGGGCCTCACTTCTAATTTTGGAAGTTCAGTTTCTACTGCTGCTAAAGAGTATCAGAGGCATGAAGCTGGTGAGAGGCTGATAAAAAGTATTCTACCTTCAAAAGCTGCCTCAGCCAAGAAGAAATTTCAAAACCTAGAGGTGGAGAATGACAAGCAACCAATTCAGCCCAAAACCACGCAAGTGGGTTTGAATGGTCATGTCCCTTACAAGGAGCCACTGGCATCTATGTCTGACAATGATGTAAAAAGGAGTTCATATGATAAGCTTGTGAAAAAGGATCAACACGATCCTGGCTCTCATTTTGAGAAACGAGAAAAACATACAAGAAATAAGGATAGACCATGTCGTGGTGTTTGGACTCCTGTTCGGAACTGTCCTAGTAAACATGCTAATGCTGAACACTTAACATCCTCTATATTGCAATCTGAAGTGCATTCTGATTCTGTTCGAGGTATTTTCCATTTCTGTGATTGGTCTTTTATATAGTCCTGAATGAAATGTGGATATATAACTGTAGCTGATTACAATTTCTTAGCAGGGGGTCCGTAGCTAACTTTTGTCTATTTTTCCAGCAACTCATGGAGAAGTAAAAGATGGCACGCGATTTAGGGACCATAATCAGGGATCAGCAGGGTCAACAAATGGAAGCAATAATTCTTCTGCAGAGAATGGTTAGTTTTCCTATAAAAAATCTAAGTGGAGTGCTTGGCGCTTTCAAAACTTATTCTCATACTTTTAACTAATCATGGAAATTCAGATCCATGCTGGCCAGTTAAATAGAACAAGATTCTTGTTGGACATGATATCAACAAGTCACATGCAATGTTCTATCTATCATTGTGTACGGTGTTTTCAGCCTACTTTTAGTAGGTACATTACAATAATTAACAATGCTCTTGTTCTCCCAAAACCCATGGGATGTGCCATGCACTAGCACATGTATTAGAATTTTTTTTGTAAAATTTACATGTCTGGATTACTCTTTTTTCTTCTTAATTTGTATATTTAGGGGTGGCAAATCTAGGGATGGAACTTTAGAAGCCTTTTCAACCGTTGCTTGATGATCACATGTTGCACATTGGAATCAGCTAAACTTCATTTAATTTGATTTCATCCAGGTTCCCATAGAGATTTTGGTCGTCAAGTGACAGCCCATAATATAATGCTTGATAGCTCCCCGAGTGCAACTGGAGGAAAATTTTCCAAAAAAGGAGGTCATGCTGGCTATACTGCCCAGGAGGTGTGCACAATTTGTGTTAAGCATCATGGACTGTGATCCCTTTGTATTATTTCTAGTAGTTGAATTATCTTTTTGGTGTTTGCAGAAACAAGTATGGGTTCAAAAGTCTTAAGGTTTTTAAAATCACTCATCTGGTGTTAAATCTGGTAAGCTTATATCTATATCCACATCATGAATACCATTTTTATGTTTTTTTTAGCTATCATACAGAAGATACCTATTAGATTTGTATTGGAAATCAAAGAGGGATTCTGAACAATATGCACCCGAAATTATTGAATATATAGAACCTTGACAGCATTGAACTGTTCACTGAAATGGTTTGCCCAGCTAAATGTAAAAAAATAATGATGAAAGAAGATATAACTTTTGTATTTAGCATTTTTAATCATGCCAGGATGATGATGGCAATGGTGATGATGAATTCTCTACAATTTTAGTATTGTACCCACCAATTTCCACATTAGAACCCTTTCACATACTCTCTCAGAAAGGAAACACAACAAATGAAAATGCTGGGAATATGTAGTTTTGTAACACAGTTGAAATGTGGGATCTAAGATAAGCTTATATATAGTTTGCAAATGAGATGTCTCCACACTTTCAAGTGGGAAAAGCGCTCAGCAATTTAAGAATTTGAAGGCTACCTACCTTGTCTTTTGCAACGTGTCTATGTCTTGCATCTTTGACAGAGTGGAAGAGTCAAGACAAATGATTTAACTTTTGTGAAATGTGGATGGAAAAATCTAAAAATTAATCCAAAACTTTTAACTGGTCTTACAGTTTCAGAGATGATATGTTGGGACTGAGCTGCTGTACTGGTGAGAATAAACAAAGCCAAATATCAAAATTTATTATTCATCAAAGAATGATGGGACCATGCATACTATAGATGTTTATCCAAATGGTTATGAATACTTAACAATGTAGCAGCATGCAACAAAAAAATTATTTTGAATGTTGAAAACCTGAAAAATATGATTGTCGCAGGTTTTTTGAATATCAGATGCATTGTTCTCTCCTAAATAAAGAATGAGGGATTAGATTTCTTTATGTGCAGACCTCTTGCTACAGTTCATTTATTCGATTACTATCATTGTAAACATCCAGCTTTTTGTCATGCTGTAATCTGCTTGTTCCTTTAAGATCTAGTGACATGCATAATGGTGATAAGTATTGGCGTAACACATTCAAATAAAGTGGTATAGTATTTTAAAAGTGCTGATGTTGTTTGGTGATGATACACATTTATCTAAGTTGTAGTAGATGTAGATACTTTTAGAGAATAATATAAATCATATCTTAGAACCTCACTTAATAGCTTAAAATTCTGGGTTGAATTAGTTATTTAACATGGTAACAAAGCCTTGATGACTAAGCGGTTACGAGTTTGAATATCATCTTTATTTATTTAATAAAAATTAAGCATAAGGTAGTATGAGTCTGTGCAAATTTTAAACTTAAAGAGCTTTTACTTGAAGGGGTGTATTAGAGAATAATATAAATCTTATATTGAGAGCTTACCTAATAGCTTAAGTTTTTTAGTTAAATTGGTTTTTTAGTTAAATTGGTTGATATCCTAAGCTCCCAGCCAATTGTTCATACTGCTGGAATGGAACTATGAAACAATCTACATGATGGATGCAATTGTTTATCTTTATTTGCATGTGTATCTCATGAGACACTGTTAATATTCCCTCTGAACAACACCTTTGCACACTTAAGCTTGCAAGTGATTTTATGTGAGTGTGTGTGTGTCTTTGTGTTTGATACGATGCAATGTCCATCTTAGTTTCCATTGACCAAAACTGATTACTCACTTTTCAGGCAATCCAGAATTGCCATTTGCTTCACCTGGAACTAGCTTAAACCCTTTTCAGTATGTTACAGCTCATTGCATGGTCTTATACGCTGTATTGGAGTACGCAGTTTCTGTATGGTGCTGGAGTTACTTCTGTCAGATAATTTGATCTCAGATACATGTTCAGAAGTCATCAAATTAAAGCCGGTGAGAATTGTACCTGCCTAAATGAACCATGTGATTTCAATTCTTGCTGCACGCTGCGAGGTATCTTCCAGTTCCATGTATTCATCAGCTGGAGAGATTATGAATTAGGCTGGATACTGGAACCTGTCTTGTTGGTCAAGTTGATGAATTTTGTGGGCTGCATTTTGTACAGCCTTTGGTTTCTCTGTTATTCAAGCAGCTATGCAAGGTTCAGTGCTTGTTTTCTTCTGCTGCAACCGCAAATATGCTACTAAATGCGACAGAGTGCTAGTTGTTTGCTGTGCGAAGATATGTTATACTTATGAAGGCAGCTGCATTTAAAGCTGGTGCAGCTGAATCGGGCTCTGGGATGCCAGAAAGAATGTTGCATGTCGGATGTGTATGCTGATTTCAACGTGCTGAACAGGATTGAGCATTTAGAGAAGCAAAATTGTTTCCGTGATTGTCCTTTACAATTATACACACATAAATTAAGGTTTGTATAGAAATGCTTTTCTCACTGTGAGTGGTGAATGGTATGAAAGAAACATTGCGATCGTTTTCATTTCCATCAGGTCTTCCGAAGCATTCATCTGAGTCTTGGTTACCAACACTCGACAACAGATACTACTGCCTCCCACGCAGAAGAATGTATATTACGAGAACCGAGGGAAACCGTTGTATTGTCTTTTCTCTTTCTCCCAGCAGCAAAAGAACAAAATGAGGAGACGCAGATCAAACCAAATTCTTCAGTCTGGTAAAATGACCATAACAAGCCTTGCAAAAGCACGAGGAACCAACCATCCAGTCACGATAAATTACGATGATGATTAGTTTAATAAAAAAGTTGATACATTTCCTTCCTATAAACCTTCTTGAAATGGAGATAAATAACAGTAGACATATGGCCCAAGTGTTAACTACAATAGTGGACCTTCACATTGTACATGACTTGTATCAGATCTATTGCCTTGCGTAAAAATCACACTCAATTTTCTGAAATATAATCTATGGAATTTGAGCAATCTCCAGCAACATTTTATGCAGGGACTGAGGCTTTGAAAAGAATGGGCAGTGATCACTTCCTTTAATCTTGAAGACTCTTTCTGGTGGATTCTCTCTCACTAGCTTTTCTTGGACATCTGGTGAAAGAGCACGATCATCCAGTGTCTGAATGAAGAACCGCCGACCAGTTCCATATTTTTCAGGGGTCAATGATAGCTTCTCCATGATGGGACCAAGTGGAATAGGTCTCATTGAAACCATGGCCAACGCAACATCCTGAAAGTACCAAACTTTGAATGAGTTTAAATAGTAATGGACACATATTAGTTAGTGGAGGGACAACTGAAGTTCTTTTGTGACTATGGTAGGCTTCTACACTCAAAGCAATTTGATATTGGCCCAAATAGCTGGATACATGGGTCAAAATGGATAGCCACATGATGTCACACAATGTTGAGAAGTGGCTTGTTTTTGCAACGGTTAGGTCTGGATTATTTTAGAAACAGTGGCAATATGATTAGATTGATTTTTAACATACCTTTGTTGGTGATTGGTTGAAATATAAACCTTTCATTTGCTGTTTCTCAAACATGAAAGCTGTAGGAGGCTTGTCTTTACCATTTCCATAAATCAAAAACTGTGATTCTTGCATAAAACGTTCTGCAGATCCAAGCTGCAATAAGATTCTCTAGTTAGAACATCCAACTCAGAATTGAAAGCAATAAAAACTGCTCGACAGGATCCTGTTAAAAAGGCCATTGCTTGGTGCAACAGTAAGAGTCTAGGGACACCTAGATGGGCAAAGGTTTTGTCAAAAATTTCCCTTTCCAAACTGCATTCCAGCTGGACCACAGCTACAATTCCTGGTCTTTTATAGAAGCTCTTAGCTCTATGAGGAATTGATTCAGAGTTTTCAATCTCATCTCATACTTTATTTAGTCCACAACTGTAAGGTTTTAGGAATAGTTTCAAGGAGCAGATCAGGAAGCTTCCTATCTGAGATAGGGTTTTGACATAAGAGATAGGACAATTGGATAAATAGTAGGTAGATAGCATAGCATCATACGGCAGTTTAAGCATCAGATGTAAGGATCTTGGTCATCACAGAATAGAGGAAGCTTGCAAATGTCAAAGGCATGGCATCTAACCACACAAAACAACATACAAAGCATAAATTATGAAAGTTCTTCGAACTTTCTCTTCCATAATAAGGGTCACAAACTTGAAGAGTCAACAATTCTGTAAAGAAGGTATCCTTACAGTTGTGGCTTAAGGAGGTCATGTAGACCTCAAGAACGAAGCCAGATTTCTATTGGATTTCTCCATTCTATATCAAGAAAGCACTTTTTTTTTCTAGCTGAAGACGGAGACAGTTATCTGAACCCATTCAGATACTTTTTTTTACCTTCAGTTATTATAAGAATTGAACCATGATTTTAACCCATCCCCTTCAAAATCCAATAGTAGCATAACAGAATTGTAATTTGTTTTACTATGCTCTGGAAGCAATAATGACATGACAAGGTAGCGAATTATCATGATTTTATTAATTGGATCCGCATTTAAATGAGCTTACTAGATTAAGCAAGTAAGCTTTGATGCTATACCTCTTCAGCAAACACATCAAAAGGCCTCTGACCATCAGAAACCATTGTAGCACAGAGAAAAATAGCTTTCGAGATCTTTTTGGGGAAATGCTCAAGTGCATAAGAGACACAGGCACCTCCACTACTATGGCCAACCAAAATAACCTGCGGATGAACAGTACATCAAAAAATATTGCATAGTACACTCACAAAGTACATGGAGAATTAATAAGATGCTTATCACTTACCTGTTCATCCTCAGGCAAGTTTTCTAAATAACTAATCAATGGTTTTGAGTACTCTGCCAATGTTGTGACACTGTTTGTATCTGCCAGCTCAATGCCTGATCCTGTTAGATCTATGGCAATGGGAACCAATCCTGCTTCCTCTAATAAAGCAATAGTTTTGTACCAACACCATGCTCCAAAACCTTCTCCATGCACCAGAACAAACTTCTTTAGCTTTATATTCTCCAAAAAGTCAGGCACCTGAAAAGAATTTACTTCACAATTAAGAAAATCTGACAACATTCTGTAAGTTGAAAGAAGGCGAAAAGTGAAGGTCATCAACTATGACAGATCAGAAACCATTTTCTGACATATGACTTGTGTATATCAATCATGGAATAGAAAACGGAAGCTAAAAAAGAAGCTAAGAGCAAAAGACTGATGAGAACACTTTAGACATCCCAAAATAGATCTAAGATGTTCTGCTGGGAATTATAAAATGTATTGCATAGAGATTTTCCACGTTTGAATATTAAATGCACAACACAAATGAACTTATTGTCTTGTAAACAGAGTAAAGGAGAAGTTTAAGCTAGCCATTTAAATTTTAAATCCATTCAACAGGAACTCAACTTTTACTCGGCACTCATTTAACTTTCTTATACAAATAAGAACTTTTTATGAGGGCAAGCACTAGCTGCAGTACAGTTTTTTTCTATGTTGGAGCTGCGAGTATGATTTTCAAAAAGGACCTTGACAGTCTCAACAACCTTAGAACTTCAACGTTTCCATGATGATTTCCACTTCTTTTCATGGCTGATGCAATTACCACATCTTATCCTTCATCTTTGTCATTAGAAGTTACGACTCTTGACTTCCCAACTAGTCTGATTCGTCTAGAGACTCATTTAATCCTATTAGTGTAAGTTGCATAGGCTAGTCCATTCCCAGTAGACATACTAGAGCTTTAGGGCATAAATAGACTGGTTCAAAGTTCTCTCCTCTAGAACTAAGAGTGGACCAGAAAAGGAGCAGTAGCTCCAGCTAGCATTAACTATTAAAAAGTGAAAAGGTGAGTCCTCTAAGATCCTCTTTTGCATCCATAGTAACCCCTTGATTAAAACTATAAAAAGATTTAATGATCTTGAAGAGCGTAGAGAATTAACTGAACATACTTTTCCACTTTTCAAGTAATCAGACAAACAAAAAAAGTAAAAGAATCCCTTTTCCCTTCATCTCTTTTTAAATGAAACTTGATGCTCGCACTCATAATTGGAGACTTTTTTCTCAACTGTGCCCATAATTAATCATGGTACATCATCCACTTTCCATATCAGATCCAATCAAGTAAAGAACCAAGTATAATTAACTCGGCAGTTTTACATTAAAAAAGGAAATAAAGCAGCTTAACTATAAAAGCAAAAGCATCAAATAAATGTCTTCAGAAAGCCAAATGAGGAACCTGTTTTCCATTAGAGAAAGGATCAGAGAGATTTCTTCTTCTAGAGCTAGTGGAGCCAATCCTCCTGGACATGGATCCATCAAATCTCTGAGACAATTGGTGCTGTTGTAGTGCCATAGATAAAGCTTGTCTATGCAAGAGCTCTTCCTCTGCCAACAACTTCCTCTGAGACCTGCCCATTCTCTTGCTTCTTGATCCATGATTATCTCTAGTGTCCTTCTTTGTCATGCAAGTAAAACGATTACCCATTATTGCAAAACCTCTTTTCTCAACAACCCAGAAATCTTTCGAGGAAGTTTTGAGTTAATTTTGACAGAAAGCAACCAAAAGTCAAGAAATTTTCATGGAAAGCAGCATGCTTCTCTGCCAAAATAAAAATGATATTCTATATGAAGCCAGAGAGGCTCCTCGATGATTCTTTAATACTAATTTTTTTATTGTCTTTTGGAATATTAGAGAGAGAGTAGGTAGGAGTAGGAGAGGGGTGGAGGGAGAGGTTGGCTATAAATGCTCATCTCTCTCTCTCTTGCAATTTGAGATTTCAACGAGAGTGGAGAGACTTTCTGTTTACCAAAAAGAAACAAACGAAACTAAGTCAAAAGTGTGTGAAATAACAGCACAAGTTTTTGTTTTTACTGAGACAAGTCTCCTGTGCAAGAACTAAGAAGGCCTTACGAACTTCGATTGGAGATCGCGTGGAGCATGGAAGATGGGGACATGCACGTCCTTTTCTTCTTCCTCGGTATAGTTTGTTTAGACATGCTTCAGCTCTCACACATGTTTCAGTTTCGGTCTCCGGCTAAGTCTCAGTTTCGCTAACGTTCTTCTTTTTCTTTTTTAGATTATCCAAACACTTCTTCCATGAAACAGTTCCTTTTTTGTGAGATTTTCTCAAATTGGGCAGTGGTGGACTGAAAAAACAGTTTGCCTTTAATGTTTCCGAAGTAGTTAACAGGCGATGTCTAATTCCTTGATTTTATTTATCCATAACATTATTTAGATTTAAAATGCAGTTGGTCGAAGTTGCAAGGGTAAGAGTTGGTCGAAGTTGCAAGGATAAGGGAGCTAGCATCCAACATAATATGGTTATAACAACCAAACCGATCATTGACTCGGTTGATTAACTTAAAATGATTTTTTTATTAAAAAAACTATAAAATAATGTAAAAATACAACGTTATTTTAATTAAAATAAAACCTAATTTAAAATCAAATTTAACACGAGCTAAGTTCTAAAATAAATATACTAAATTGACTCTAGAATCAACTTGATTTTATAACTATAACACAAAATATGACATTTTAATTTCATGCATGTGAAGGTAATGTTTGAGAGTCTTTTTAAGACTAAAAACACTAAAAATATTTTGGTTAAAAAAATAACTACGTGGCTCATGTTTTACTATTTTTTTTTGGATTTGAGAAAATCTTATTTCTCAGAAAGCGTATTTTATAGATTCAGGTGAGCGAGTAAAACCTCAGTTGTTCCAAGCTCTTACAAGAGGCATACGCTCTAATTCAAACTCGAGACCTACTGTGCAAATCTCAAAACCTTTACCATCACACTACATCCTTAAAGACGTCGCATTTCACTATGAGCTAGGCTAGTTTGTTTATGTAATGCAAAAAATCATAACTTGAATTATAGACCTACTAGATCAAATAATAAGGTTTCATTTAATTATATGATAGAAAAAATGACAAATGTAAAAGGAATTGAATTTTAAAAGAAAAGGTAATAATGATAACTTGGAGAAATAAAAAGCAAGTTGACAAAAAATAACGATTGTTAATATCCAACAATCCAAATGAAAAAGAATAAAATTAAAGAAAAAATCAATAAAAAAGTAAAACACTTACAAATCTCAGTAAAGCCAATAAAACTCACAAGCTAAATCATGTGAACATGATAATTTAATAGAAGAGAAAACTAGAAAAAATAACAAAGCTTAATTTTAAAAAGAACCCAATTCTAAAGAATAAAATTGAGTACACACACGCACACTTACTATCTAGGTTATGAGATTGTGTTAACATAATTGAAATGAAACTAAATAAAGTCATGAAGCCTATTTTTCAAAATGAATAACGTTAAAGTATAAAATAAAATAAAATCAATGGCAAAAAATAAAAACGATGTCAACATGTGTTGACTTTTTATCCTCTTGACCTAAACACCAAACTGGAAGTACTTTATCTAAAAAACCATGAAATTCAATTCTCAATAAATTAAATTTTAAAAAATAAAATTAAAAAAAATCAATTATACAAAAGGATCCAAAACAAAAAAATAGCAATTAAAAGAATGTTGAACTAGTTTGAAATAAAAAGAAAATAAGAGGACAATCTAGAATTTTGAATTGAAAGATAAAATTAAAAAATAAATCAATTATACAAAAAAATAAAAAAATAACAATTAATAGAATAAGAACCTGATTTGAAATAAAAATAAATGAGAGGACAACCTAGAATTTTAAATTGAAAGAAAAAATTGATAAAAAAATCAAAATCTCAAAAGAATATAAAAAATCAAAATTAAAATAATAAAGATCATATTTGAAAAAATAACAAGTAAGAATTTAATGATAAAATTAAAAACAAATTGAAATATTACAAGAGGACCAACAATAAAAATTAAAAGTAAAATAAATGAGGATTAATGTTAAAATATTAATAAATAAAAAGACAATTGTAAAATTTCAATGGCTAGTGTGAGTTTCGAAAGAATAAGAGATAAAAGAAGGAAAAAAAAAAGTTTTTGGTAACAAACCATAGCCCAAAACATTAGACACACTACTCCATATGAAAAGAGACACTACTATGCTTTTAACATCGTCACAAAAGTTGGCATTTTGCTATTGAACGATGATCATGAAGAGCATGGAGGCGCTTTAAAAACTGGTATATATGTTGCATATGTTAGCTAGTTTTTTTAATAATATTTTATATTTATTAAAATATTAAATTGCTTCTACTTTGATTATAACAACAAAAAACACTTGAAGTAGTTTAATAACATTTGCTTGCAAAAGTAATTCAATAACTTTATTGTGCTTAAAAATTAAAAAGAAAAGCTAAAAGTTTTTATTTTATTTTAAAATTAATTAAATCATTTTACTATATTAAAAAAACAATTTATCCTCAATTTTTCTAGTGAATCTAACAAAAAAAAATCATATTACGCCAACAATAATTTTTTTTGAGTTTTTTTATACTAAAATTATCATTATATTATTCTAATTCATAGTGCAATAAGTTTAGTGGAAAAGTGTTTTACATTTTTTATTTTTGTTAAGTGAATGTTAAAATTCTATTTTCTATAATAATTTTCACTTTTTAATTTTTTATAAGACATTAAAAAATAACTCTTCTAGATATTTAATGGAAAGCCGGATTCTTAGATTATGGAATTTTATTTAGATATATTTTTGAGTAATTTTTTATAAATAAAAAAATATTTTTATTTTTTATTTAAAAAATCATCAAGATTAAATTAAAAATAAACAAAAAATAGAAACCTTTTAATTCAAAGGAGTCAAGTACAAGTGGTTTGGCCCCAGAGGGGTTGTTATCCTTTATGTTTTTGGGTTGTTACGGGTTTATAAAAAAATATATATTTGATAGTGTTATAATTATGAATTAGCACTAGATAAGTAATAGAAACTAAATATATAATGAAGCAAATATTTCATGACAGAAAAAAGAATTTAGCTTATGTTAATAAAAAACAAGAAAAATTACAAAACTAAATTCTCTACTAACTTAATATTAAAAAAAACAACAAAGATAATTTTGAAAGGAAAAAACCTCATGAGAAAAAATATTGTAACAATTGACAATAATAAAATAAAAAAACCATTTAGAGAAATCTTTAGCAATTCATAGTGTTTGTGAGAAAAATTATAACATTTTTCCTATATGATTTAGTTTTATTATAATTATAATTCTTAATCAATTCAATATTCAAAAACAATTTCACAAAGATAATTTAAAAAAAAATCATAAAAAAGTCATATCGGAAAACACTGCAACAATTTACAGTATTTTAAAGAAAAAAATTACAAAGCTAAATTCTTAATCAATTCAATATTAAAAAATAAATTGACAGAGATAATTTTAAAAAAAATAACAAAAAACACAAAAAAAAAATCATGTTAGAAACACTATAACAATTCACAATATTTTGTGATGAAAGCTACAACGCTTCTCTATATAATTTAGACTTATTTGTAATGACTTGTAATTGTAATTCTCAAACAATTCAATATTAAAAAAAAAGATAATTTTAAAAAAATTATAAGAAAAAAACCATGTGGAGAGATATTGTAGCAATCTACACTGTTTTATGTAAAAAGCTACCGTGCTTTCTCCACATGATTAAGCTTTATTACAAAGTTAAATTATAAACAACTCAATATTAAAAACAAAATTTGACGAAGATAATTTTGAAAAAAAAATATTACAAATAATGAAAACACAAAAGAAATTGGAAACAAACTTTATAAGGAAAAACTATATTAATCCATAATGTTTTATGAAGAAAAACTTGTATTTACTTGTAATTCTTAACCAGCTTAATATTTAAAAAATAAAATTGATAAAAAAATTTTTAGAAAAAAAACATAACAAAATAGAAAAAAATCATGTGAGAAAAAACATTGTAACAATCCGTAGTAATTTGTGAGAAAAGTTACAGTGCTTTCCTCATATATTGTAACTGTAATTTTTAACCAGCTTAATATTAAAAAATAAAATAAAACTAATTTTGAAGAAAATCATAAAAAAAAATCATGTGGAGAAACACTATACCAATCAACAATATTTTTTTAAAAATAAAAAAATATAATTTTAAAAGATAAAAAAATAAAATAGAAAAACTATGTGAGAAAATACTCTAAAAATCCACAGTATTTTAAAAAAACATTAAAAGAATTTTGAAAAAAATAGAGGAAAAAAATGTGAGTAAGATAGAGGAAAATTGGAAAAAAAAAGTAATTTTGAAAAAAATCTGAAAAAAAAAAGTTGGAAAAAAAAGAAAAAAAATGCACTATTGATTATTATTATAATCCGAAGTGCAAAAAAAATAAAAATACACAAATTCACTGTACATTATAATAGTAATCAACAATGCATTTAGGTGTGGGGAAACAGTGATTCCCCACACCCTTTTGTTATAAAAAAATCAATAGATATAATTTTAAGAAATAAAAAATAAAATAGAAAACTTATGTGGAAAAATACAGCAGAAATCCATAGCATTTTTAAAGAAAAAAATTATAAAGTAAAATTTTTATCCTGTTCAATATTTGAAAAGTAAAATTAATAAAAATAATTTTAAAAAATAAATTAAAAAAATAGAGGAAAGTTGAAAAACAAAAAAAGGAAAGTAACTTTGGAGAAAAAGATAAAAAAAGGGAAAATTTGGAAAAAAAAACATAAAAAAAAGAAATATACTGTAAATTATTGTTGTAATCATAATGCATTTAAATATAAAAAAACAGTGATTT